ATAGAAGAAGACATTGAGGAGGCGATTGAGATCAGCGAGGTGGAAGAGCAGTTAAATTCGAACATCGATTCGCTATCCGATGTGGGTGGAAAGGGTCCATCAAAGCATATTGCTAAATCCGAGAGTAGCGATGAGGCAGCCCAGTTCGGCATCGACGATGCTCAGCTTTCTGGTGGCCAGTTGGCCCAGCATTTTCTGGCTGATGAGGAGAGCGATGATGAAGATGCCGATCCACCCAGTCCAAAAGATCAAGCAACAGCGACCGATGACGATGACTTTGATATTAGCCTTCCATTGGAGGGGCGCAAGCCCATGCACTCCCGCCACGAAGATAATGCAGAGGAGTCTCCCCATAGACACGATGAGGGCGAGAGCCTTAGCAATCAAAGCACCACTGACGATGTCTCTGATTTCGTGGACGAGCCGCAGCAGACCACCGACTCAGCAATCGAACCCCAAAACGCACAGTCGGGCAGTGTTGCAGCAAGCACAATGGCATCGGCGCTATCGGAGGCGGCCGAGCCTGAGTCAAGGTTGGCGGACAGTGAATTGGAAGAGGGAGTTGATGCACACAGCGAGCAGGATCACTCTATGGAAGAAATCGTTGCTACTAATGAGTCCATAGAAATAACCTACAATGCAGAAGAGGGAGTCGCTAGCAGCTCGCTGCTAAGTGCATCGCAAAATCAAAACATTTCAGCATGCTTAGATGTGGCAGAGCCAGCAGAGACATGCACTGTGGAGCAATTAAAGCTACCCCAATTGCAAAGTCCCCAAATCGTCGATTACAAAACTACAAATATCTTAGAAACAGTTCGGCTAGAACCCGAGCCACTAGATCGGATTATGGTTAATTTGAAAGGCGATGACGATGAGGATGAGGATGAAGAGTGTGCCATGCAGCTGTTGAAGCTGCGTCTGATGGCCATGAATCAGCAGACCCAAGTGGATACCGGTGCCAAAGGCTCACCCACAGAGTCACCAGCTAGTCAAGAGCCTGGAACAATGGAGCTTAAGCAAATGGAACGCGTACCGCTTACAGAGTTTAGCAAAGACGTATTAGAGGATATTACAGAAGAGAGTGAGCGTCTTCTATCAATAAGTACCACGGCTGAGGATCCCAAATCATTGTCCATGGAAGAGTCAAAAACTTTACAGGAAACCAAGGTCGGCAGCAATTCAAGTTTGGTGAGCTTGAACATGCTGAAGCAGCTCGAAAGTAAGGTTCAGGACCTACACTCACAGCTGGAGAGCAAGGACAATTGCTTGGCTTCCCTGAATCTTCAGCTTGAGGCTGCCCGCCAGGAGTCGAGCGTCGGCCCGGCATCTGCCCGGGATAGCAGCTCGTTGGTGACTAGCTCCACAGAGTACCGCACATTCCTAGAGGAGTTTGGTGCCCCGGTAAGACATAGTTATAACGTCTTAACAATCGGCGCAACTAAATTTTTTTGTTGTATCCCCTATAGACACTCGACATCTACGTGGAGTTATCGCGGCGCGACGAGATGATTGCAAAGCTCATGGAATCACTGCAGCAGTCATTGAACGTTCGTGGCCAACTGCAATCGGACTCTGAGAGATTGGGCGAGGAGGTGCATTCGTTACGTAGGCAACTTCACGAGGCCATCGACGCAGTCAAGCGCAGCGGCGGCTGGCCTGATCAACAGGGCAATATCGGACAGCGAATCTCGGAGATATCCATGGATCTGATTAGCGAAAGTGACGACGATATGGAACGTAACTTTCTTACCGACCAAGAGGGGGATCGGGTATCGCGCAGCTCACGTGAGCGACAGCTCTCGGTGCCAATCGATGACTTGGGCGTGGAGCCTTTGCCTCCCGAATGGCCGCCCGCCTTCAGCAAGCAAATCGAACAGTTCCAAAAATGTTTGTTGCCCGGCGAGGTGCGCCCGTTTCTCTTGGTGCAGCGCAAGTTTGACGACTATCTGTCCCAGCAGTTGGCCCAGTGTCGGGAGCAGTGCGCGCAAGAGCTGAAGATCAGTCGAGATCAATGGGAGTGTGAGAAGTTGGCTAACGAGCAGGCGCAGCGTGACGCGCATGCTAAGCAAATGGAGGAGCTGCGCAAATACTTTGAACATCGCTGTGCTGATTTAGAGAAACAGTTTTCCGACGAAGTTTTCTCGCATAAGAGTCAGCACCTGGGCGGGGACAGCTCCTCCGAGTGCTCGGAGGTGGATCAACTGCCAGAAGAGACAGCCTCAAAAGACTCCTCTCCACGCAAGCGTAAACGCGCTGAGCTCCTGCTTAGCCCCAGTCATCGCCAAATCACGCCCAGTGGGCTTGATCCCAAAGAACCCAAAGACAATGTGAGTAAGCAGTCGATAATGGACAGGCAAAAATATATTATACTCTACTGTAAATGCATTTTAGGTGTCACAGCAAGTTGCTGACATTAAAATATTCTATCAAGCACACATTGATGAACTGAAGCGCTCTCATGCAGAACAAGTGCGCCAACTGAAGGAGCGTATCAAATTCTACGAGCGACACCAATCAGATGATGATTATTTGGTAAGTTGTCTAGACTTACGGTGCACATTCGCAAACATTCGTGTTAAATAACTAAAAAATTATGCTTGTGATCGAACCACTCATATGTGTATTACCTGAGTCCGTCAGTTGATCAATTGCTAACTGCATGTTTCTTCTTGTTCGCTTACTTTTATAACCCAATAAACAATTAACTACCTGGGCACCCCGCAATAACTAATCCGCACAGCCCGCACAACTCAAATCACCGACTACCTGCCAAAACGTGAGACAAGATGCAGTGGAGGTCGACCCAACTGCTGGACAGAACCCCAGCACTTCGCTAATTATCATTGATGAGGATGAGCTGAACTTGAATAACGAGTCGCAGGTGATTCAGCGCATCATCGAGGAGTATGAGCGACGCCTGCAGGAGCAGCTGGCGCTGGCACGCCAAGACATAGTCGCCGAGCTAGAGCAACAGATACAGGTGAGGTATGGAGCAAATGCATGCATGCATGGAGCGCTCTTTGACAACTTTACTGCACACTGCATTTCCCTGAATATATTCTGCATGCTGCGTGATTCACCTATGTAGCTTCATCTGTAGTGCGCGAAACCAAAATTATTTCTGTGCACTCGTTCAATGAACACTTGGTTCCACCTTTCCGTTCTCTGCTTCTGCTTCTGAATCTGCGACGTACAGCGGTTGCAAATTTTGTTCCGTAAAAATTTGTCAGGACGCCAGCAGCGAATAAAAGCGCGAGAGTGCTCTAGTGGCCGACTAGTATATACCCATTACTGTACTTCCGTTTTAAACTCTATATTATAGGTATTCTGTCCAAGATTAGACTAGACTATATCCATAGAATATTTTGTTGAATATTTTTGATTTATTTTTTTGTATCTTCAAGTTTGCAGCCGTTCAACCCTAAACCTCCTAAACCACCCAATGATACCCAAATAGATATTGAAATGAGAACTTCTCCCCTGTATCTCACTCTTCACTCAATTTACTTGTCATTGAAATATATCTGCTCCTCAAGTAGCTATTTATAATACCAAAGTCAACCATCCCAGTCGAATGCGAACATGTGTTTCCTTCCGGCACTTGCTCCAGGCGGAACTTTCAGCCAAGTGAACTCATGTTCATTGCGCCAAGTCAAATAATTGATCAAATACAATTGTATAATAGTTTGTCATCTTAAAAGTATGTCGATAATGCGCTACTACTAAATGTGTGTCAAATTTAAGCAGGTTCTCAAAAATATATATTTCCTCTTAGATTGAGCACAAGTCAACATATGTACATACATACATATATCATGCATGCATGCAAGCATGTGTGCTCTTTATTTATTTGCCAAGACAATTTCGCAGACATTATTCTTAATGTTTTGGGTGTAAGACATACAAATGTATGTATGTAGACATATACATACACATACATATACATAAAATATGTATATAGTCATATTTGATCGTGTATGCTTTTGGAACATACATACATACTTATTAGGGATTAAGTATACGATGTTTGATTCATACGAACTTATCGTATAAAGAAAACAAATGAACGATTGCTCTCATCCAATAAAGTCCGGCCGGAAGCACGGGGGTAGTCTGATTTAGAATTAATTAACTCCGTTGGAGTTACATTTGAAAGTGTCGACAAACATGTTAAGTGACAGGCATGTATATGTCTGCATATACATAAACAGTCATATAATTATATACTTTCGAGCCCATGCGAGTGCAATAATACTTTGGACCGCTGTTCAAAATTAACGAACATAAATTTATATTAATGCAGCACGCATACACACACAGGAGAGAGAGAAAGCAAGCAGTGCAGTGCGCACTGCTTTGATGCACTAGGCAATTGTTCTTACGTTCGCTCTCGCTCGCACTCTCATTTCACTCCCTCTCCGAGAGAGCGACCGACCATGGCGGCGATCTTTAATAAATAGCCTGTTGCTTGAATCGTCTGCTCAGTCTTTTCCGTTACTTCAAGGCGGACGTGTGAGGTTTGTCGTGTGATGTGCAAAGTGCCGAATTATAAATACACACCACATTACAAATATATAAATATTCAAACAGAAGAGAGCATATCTATGCCACACATGCGAGTCTAAAAGTGAATTAACATAAAAACATGTGCGCTCAAGAGATGCTGAAGCATTGTGAATAAATAAAAAAGGAAAAAACGGTAAATCAACAGAAGCGCAAAAATACATACATATGTATGTGTATATGAACAAATTGAATTGTTATTGTGACCAAGTGTTATACATACATTAGTGTGCGTAAAGTCTACGAAGAAGTGGGCACATGTATGAACGTGACAGTACTCATTAATTAAATCGCGTTTGTGTGTGAGCTCCCGCGAATCCGTTAAAATTTAAATCTAACGATTTCTTGGCTGGCGTCTTTCCACAAAAATAATAGCATACATATATGCATGCAAGAGGATTACTTGGATTTGAGAGAGCTTGCAAAAAAGTAAGAATATTTTGAAATAAGGTGTCGTTTATGACCCAGTACGCAATACACAAATCACAGCGTTTTGAGTACTCTCTAACGAAAAGAACCGTTCTTTTGTGTAAGACTCTATGAGTTCACTAGCGGAAGGCCTAGTTAATCGAAAATTATTATAGTTTTTGGAATTTATTTATATGTAGGTACATATTGCACAGGGTCATTGCTACTCACTTCTTATATACATACATATATTGGTCAGACTGGCAATCTGGCAATTACTGTAAATATATTAGTTATAAAGATGACTCTTTCAAAATTTTTAAAGACTGGTAATCTATACAATAAAGCTCGAAGTCGCACCCGCAAAAAATTATCTAACTCCATACGCTATTTTAAGTTAACGATTATAAATTTAATTATATGAATTAGTATGTGAATACACTTAGCGTATTCTGATTAACTACAGAATCCTAATTAATGGTTGCAAGCTTACACATCCCTTGTACATACCGTTGATAGACTGAAATGTAAATACTTTTGGAATCTACCATCAAAAGAGTCGTTGCCCTCTCTCGAAACCCATAAACACTTCCTCTAGCTGGTCCCAGTCGCGGCAAGAGATGTTATTTTTGTGTAAGGCGCAAAAATTTTGGTTGCATTGGTTGGTGCCTATTTTGGAAACTTGTTCTATTTTTAATACGACACTCGGCTAGTGTACTCATTCCTATTTTTCCAATGTGCATCGAAATCATTCTCTGTAGGGAAGCACGGAATGCACTCGCTCCAAACCAACGTTTTGCTACCGACGATATCGATTTTCATATTAAATACAATTTGTAATTGATTTTTAATTGAAATGGTTAGACACCCAACAAATTAAGCAATTTGTGAATCAATTAGTAGTAGGGCTTGGTCTGCTCTATATAAGGCCAAAAAGTCTGATTTTCCAATCAAAGTAAGGCGAAGAACGGCCATGGGTTTGGACAACATCAAAGGCTCGCGAGCTTTGGTGCGAAACCTTAAGTTTTGTAGACTGTGGCCCAACCGCAGCTCAGTTTCATCCACTTCTACGTCCGCACCACGCAGCAGATTGGTCGAATTGATGAAGTCGTTCACGCTGCATTTCATTGTGACCTTTGCGTTCACGGCCATGATGTGGATTGAGGCTATAAGCAGCGAGGACTTCGAGCATTGCACAGATGTGCTGTTCATCACGCTGACGATGACAAGTCTGGTGGCAAAGATTTTCAACAACTGGCATCATGCTAAAATTGCTCGCGAATTACTCGAGGAGTGGAGCGACAGTCCACAGTTTGAAGTTCGTTCCGGGCCGGAGCGGGATATGTGGGAGCGGGAACAGCGTCACTTTTTACGCGTCGCCCTTCTGTACTCCTTCTGCAGCCTGGGCGTGGTGCCGTGCATCTTCATATCCGCGGCATACAACTATCCAAATGAATTGCCGTTTTTGGTGTGGGTGCCCTTTGACTGGCAGAAGCCCGCAAAATTCTGGTGTCTATACGCCTATCAGCTCTTCGCAGTGCCATTTACCTGTCTGTCCAACGTAACGTTGGACCTACTCAACTGCTACCTAATGCTGTACATTTCGCTCTGCTTTAAGATGCTGGGTATGCGTCTGGCTGTGCTTGCTCCTACTGAGCATCGCGACTCTGAGCGCCAGCTGCGTGTGCAGTTGCTGGAGCTTATTGGGCTTCATAGGCGCGTCAAGGCTCAGGCTGAGAAGATTCAGATCTTCATCTCAAAGAGCACGCTTATTCAGATCTTGTTGAGCTCCATTATATTGTGCCTCTCCATCTACCGCATGCAGATGGTAAGTCAATAGTCGACGACGTCATGTGCGAGTTACATTGTGCGTAACTCCTTTTAATTATTCCTCGCCAGCTCAATGTGTTCCAGGCACCGAGCATCTTCTTAGCTATGGCAGAGTATTTGTTCGCGATGACCCTGCAAATCTATTTGCCCAGCATTTATGGGAACGATGTTACCCACAACGCTGATCGGTTGCCGACTGCTCTCTATAGTTGCTCTTGGCCAGATATGTCGAAGCCAATGCGTCGTCTGATACTCTGTTTTATGATCTACCTGAACCGTCCTTTGGTACTACGGGCAGGTGGCTTTTTTGAAGTGGGCCTACCACTTTTCACCAAGGTACAATTGCGTTCATGAGTTAGATATCGTTCTATTTACATTCTTTATTACAGACCATGAACCAAGCTTATAGTCTTTTGGCCTTGCTCCTCAACGTGAACAACAAGTAAGCCTGAGATAAATAATCTATGCAAATAATAATATAATAATGTACCTTCAAATAAATTAATAAAGAGAATATACGTTTTTTTTTTTGGGTCTCATGTGTGTTATATATCGTAGTCTAATATGTTGAGATCATCAGCATCAATAATAATTCTTGAAATTCATATATTCAATTTCTCGTATATTATTAGAAAGCCCAATATTCAAGATACCATATGCAGCTTGGCTTCTCTTCAAGAATAATAATGAAAGATTTCCTTAAAAGTTTCGCATACTTTTTATACCCTGAACCCATTGACAATGGCCAATCTGGGTATAATGGTTTTGTTGAAATGTACGTATGTAACAAGCAGAAGGAGGCGTGGCAGATCCCACAAAGAATATATATATAATAGCGCGGATATTAAGTTTATCTCCAAAAATCGATAACTCTTCTCGTTATTTTGTTATTGATTAAAAACCTTATCGAAAGTTATTAATAAATTTATATCTGCTATATTTTTAGCTAGAGTCGACAAATTTTAAATGTTAATTCATATGTATTTTATAGACTTTCAATTTTTGTTGAAATTCACCCCTCCACCTCTATAGCCACTCCTTTACCACTCAGCTTGTAAAAGCGTATTTCAAATACTAGAGTCTTCTGCTTTGCCAAATGCATACATTTCTTACATTTTACATTTATAATCCCGATCTGAAATTTGTATTAAGATAGTCGTTAACAAATTAAGTTGCCATAGTATAAACCCGCACGGCAGTACATGCGTGTTTATGCGTGCGTGCCTATATATGTCGGTGTATGTGTTTCTTGTGTAAGAAGAAAGACGCGAGGATTTATTGAAATATAATTTCTTCGCAGGGTTCAGGGGATTTCGTAGTCGAGCAGTGTGGACTAGACCTTTCTTACTTGTTCTTTTTAGCTAAGCTATTTAGATTTGCTTTCATTCATTCATTACGAAACTGAAGGTTATAGTGTATATCTATGTGCCCTTGGGATGTGGCAGCATTGCCTTACCGTTTTGGCGGTCACTTGATATTGTGACGTTCCATCATTTGCAAAAACTGACTAACTCAAGAGTTATTTATTATATCATCAAATATGAATATTGCACCAGTAAAAAATTCTCATTTCTGTGTGTATACTTTGACACTGATAAACAGGGGGTGATGATGTATGAGCATTAGTAAAATTCATTATTAACATACACGAAAGAAAGCAATGCAAAACTTTAAGTAATCAAACTGATTTAAATGATAATACTCTCGAAAATCATTATTAGCAGGGTTGTATAGGGTATTTGCTGCTAATCATAGCACACGACAAAAAGCAGTGCAAAAATTTAAATAAATAAACTGATCAGCATGTTAATACTCTAGAAATCATTAATCAGGAAGGGGCATGACCTCAGGGCTGGAGATAAGGAATTCTGCTGCTGATCGACTTGTAATTTTATTTGTGTTCAATTTATATTTATGCAAGTAAAAGAAAAAAGTTTCCAACAATTCCAACCCCTGCCATAATTATGATTTTATTGAGATTGTTTTTTTTTTGTTTTTGTGGCAGCATTGCCAATGCAACTTCAACAATCAAGTCAGTGTAGATGCAACGCCACGCCCACGCCTTGTCGGTGTGTGCTGTTAAGCAACGAACATGATCAGAGATTGTTTTCTGCTCTGATGTGGGATGTAAATAGGGAATGTGAATGTGTTAAATGCAACGCTGAAATGCGTTTCTCAGCAACGAATCCGTAAATATTTTGCTTTCATATAACTGTAAACAATAAATATTTATGTCGTGTAGCGATGGAAAGAAGCTTTTCGAAGAGAAGTTTGACAGATGTTTGGTGTTTAAACTGCCAGCCTTGATGTATTAGCAGCAACATATATCCAATATGTCTGCAACTGTTGATTGTTTACAATGCTAAAGTCGTCCACAAATTGTTCTTTTAGAGTTTGTTGTCGGAGTGCGCCGTCGATGATCAGCATTGGCCCAAGGAACTAATACTGTTGCGAGAGAAGTTTACGGCCAAGAGTCAATTGGAAATAACCCAGCTGAATATAAAACATGCCGAAGAGGTGAGCTACAGAAATTCGCAATATACGCATTATCTCTTACAGCTGTACTCCTACTAGATGTCGCGAATGAAACTGGAATATGAGAAACAACTCAACCGCAAGAACAAGCGGCACTTGACGTTTGACTCCGGCCGTGATTTGCAGCACATAATAACCGAGCGAGATGGTTTACGGCAACTATCGAAGAGTTTCCGCAGCGTGCTCTGCCGGCTGGCCAAGTGTGTGGCCAATTGCGAGGGTGACCTCAATGCCACCCTATCGGAGGAGATGCAGCGCTTACTGACGCAGAGTCGCAGTCAGGATGGTGGTGACGATGTGGAGCACACGTTGAGCAGCTCCTTGTTGCAGGGCTCGTTCAACAATTCGAAACACCTGCGCTTGGTCCCGGATGTGCACAGTCTTCTGGAAGTGGTGGAGGATCCCAGTCTCGTGCAGTTTATAGACAGCAAAAACCCCGACGATCAAAATGATTACTTTGATCTGGGCGACTGCCTAGAGCGCCTGAAAGCAGAAGCCGCTTACCTGCTGCAACTGTCTGAGGATCTTGAGAAGCAGCGTGCCATTCAGTCTGTGGACCGGCAGGATGAGCCAGAGAAACAGGAGCATGAGTTGTGCTGTGAAGCGGAGGACGGCTTAAAGACAACAGCTCCATTGCCATCAACTCAGCAACAGTTGCTCCACGACCTACTCCGCACCAACTCTCTGAACGATCAGCACCTCGGCGTTGCTCATCAGCGTAGGACCAGCAATGGTGCCCTAGGGACCAAGCCACATAGCTCGCTGCCGATCGACTTGCAGCAGCAGTCGGGCAATGCCTCGGAACTCAGCTTCCAACTTGTAGAGTTAAAGAATCGATTGATCAAATCGGAAGCAGACCGACAGAATCTGCAGCAACAGCTGACGCATACCATCGATCGCAATGCGGAGCTGGGCCAGGAGCTACAGGCATTGCGCGATCAGTTGTCGCAGCTGAACTCTTTAAACCACACAGATTATGCCGAAGGTTACGGCCTTGGTGACATGAAGAGTTCGCAGACTCTGGATCAGTCGTCCGCCAGCTTTGTACAACTCCAGGAGAGGGCTCGCCATTTGCTGACCTCGCCCACGCAACAGCAATCCCAAGAGCCGGGCAACGCAACGGTTGTATTACTCCAGATGATAGAAGACTTCTGCCGCGAGGGTGACAAGGTGGTAGAATCGGGCAAGAAGGATCGTGAGGATCTTCAGTCACAGGTAAGCTGCTCCTTAGATAATATCATATGCTCATATGCTACAAATATATCAAGAGATAATATGTCAAGTGTCTAACGCATGATCAGTAGATTACCCGCTGAGCGCGCCTAGTTGTAAGCCAAGTATAAGTTTAGGTTATATTACCTTCCATCCATGCTATACCACAACCATAGATCGATACCGCCGACAAGCAGCTGAAGGCGACGCGCCAGTTCCTGGAAGAGCAGGCCGCCGAACGCGAGCAGGAACGCGATGAATTTCATCGTGAAATCGAACGGTTAAAAGTGCAGTTACGTGAAAAGGAAAAGGAACGCAGCTCTTTTGCCAATGCCTCTGAGGAGGTGAGTGCCCTTTCCTGTCAAGGGTCTTTCCGTCATATATACAGTTATACATATAAAATGACTTTGATTTGGAATTGATTGAATGTTAATTTTATTTATCTATTGTTTGGTTTGCAAATGGGTTTCATCTTTTATTTCTGAACTATTCGCTGATAATACTTTTATGTTTTTGTAATTTTTTGATTCTATTCTACAATAGACAAAGTGTCCTTCTTACTAGTATATTGTACTGGCTCTTAAGTCAAAACTATAAGCAACATTATTTTCATTACTATTCAAAGATGTGCACACTTCTACTTAGTTTCCTTGAGTTGTTTCATTAAAGCTGTTTTAAACGGTGGACTGCTTCCAATGATTTCGATGCCAAATTATTTCGTATGCCTTATTAAAAATACAGTATAATCATAAGCATTCGGCCACCCCCTGGCGTGAGTTTGTTTGTTTTTAATATCGAAGTCAAGGGCAGCATCCACACACAAGTATATACATATATATACATACGTATGTTTCGTAAGCATGTGCCGATGTATTTATAGCTACTACAGAAAACGATAATTTTGTTTCCAAATGCTTTACATTGAATATTGCTTTGAAACACACTAATATTGAATTCATGAACTTCTAACTCTAATTGAAACTCTTAGCATGCACTCCCATTAATAACAACAATTAATAACAACAAATATACTTATTTCCAATGTACCTAAAAAATAACTGCACCTGAAATTCAACTGCACTTCGAAAACAATTTAAGTTAAGGGGAATGAAGGAGACGCATGTAAGTTGGTAACTAACTGTAACACTAAGAAAAGTTTCACGCACCACACTCCGAACAGAAATTAGTTTTAATTAGATCTGAAAACTAATAGAATGGCTGTGTGATCCATTTTCATAGTACGCTATTCTGGAGGCTCAACTTCGCGAGGTGAACCAGCAGCTGAGCGACTCCAATGACAAACGGGATAAAATGGAAACGGAACTGAAGGCATCCATAGACAAGATCTTTGTGCTGCGCGAGATCATTTCGGAGCTGGAAACACAGGTGCAGACCAAGGCGCTTAATGAGCAGGTGCTGGACGAGAAGGTCAAGCAACTGGAGGACTATATACAAATACAATTGCGCTCTAATGACGCGCTCACACAGGAGGTGCACAGCCTAAAGACGGACATAGGCGAGAGCTACCAGACGCGTATTCGCCAGCTAGAAGACAAGCTCCAGCAGGGATTGCCCTCAGCCGAAACTGCCGTGGTACTGAAACAGGTGGCCGACCAACTGCTTCTGATTGAAACAACTCTGGAGCAGAAAACCAAGACTCTGGAGTCACTTCACAACTCTAACACAACCTCCAACTCGTGCAGTCTTAGTGCCACAGAGGATGTCTCCGCCCACGGTGCAAACAGGCAGCCAGCTGAAGGGTCGCCCAAACACTCGCAGACGGTGGAGGGAGTGCAGCGCGTGGTCGAGAAACTGGAGAAGCACACGCGTGTGGAGGAAGCTGCAATCAAGCGTATACGCGATTTAGAAATGCAAGTCACCCAAATGCGTAGTGGCTGTGTGGTGAGTACAGATAAATAAATCTATAGAGCTTTCGTGGTGACTATCCAGATATTGGTTAATGTCTTCGCTCAAGATCAATAAGAATATTTGCCCACAGTGTAATTCTTTTCGAGGAAATTGTTTGAAGTAGTGATAAATGTGCTAATGTGTATGATTGCAAACTAAATATAATATGAAAAGCTTTCCGTTTCTGATGCCGTGTGCCCTAATTAGAATTTTGGAGTACTTTCCCACCTAATGACATAATTAACTTTTCCAATATATTTCAATATTTATTTATATC